GGAAGACTTGGGTAACCTCCGATTGCGGTGGCTAATACCGTCACTCGGGCTAGAGCCCCCTCCCCGAGCGCGCCTATGCCCTGACGTGAAGTCTATTCACTGAATGGTGTGTCTCTCGCTGAGAAGACCCCCGTAATTTGCCAGATCAGCGTTGTGCTTTCTTTACGCCGAGAGAAGCTGGAGAGCAGGCTGTCGCCCTCCACACTCAAGGTTACGTGGCTGCCATCTCCGCTCTCATAACGCGGTGGCTGGCAGCACCGTGGGAACGCATAACCTCATCATCCGGTTCCTCAGGGGCGTTAAGCGAATTAATCCACCCCGCCCCCTCTCATGCCCTCTTAGGATCTCGCCCTCGCTACACAAGCCGCGTCAGATCCCTTCGATCCTCGACTCAGTATATTTCTGTCCCTGAAGACAGCTCTGCTGGTCGCGTTGATATCGATCAGAGGGTCGGGGACCCAGAGGCATTTTTCGGTCAGTGACTCGTGCCTGTAATTGGGCTGGCTTCTCTCACGTATGAGACCCCGCCCGCGATATGTGCCCAAGGTTCCTACCACTCCGTTTTAATACGAGGTAGTGAGCCTGCAAGCGCTGCCCTCGGAGGAGGCAGACCCAGCCCTTATTTATTGTCCAGTTCGCGTTTTGCGTATTATCCGGACCGCACTCAGAGTTTAGATCATCTGAGCAGCTCTTCGTCTGTTATAGCGGTCGGCAGCAGGGAAGTGCCGTACCGAAATAAGTTCCCACTAGATTGTGGATGCCTTTCTTTCACTACAGAGCCGAGATGAGCCGCGTCCCCCGAGAGCGCGTGCGCACTCCACTCGGAGCTTCGCATCCTCTCGAGCGCGCGCACGCGGCGCCCCTCTAACAGACATCTGTAGAGCTGCGGGCTGGGTGACACCCAACACATTTGCAAGGTTTTACAATCTGCGAGTGGAGCCGGTTTCCTCAAGGGTATTAGGTAACCCTTGGTGATTGAGGAAACAATTCGGTAGGGTGTTGAAACACGCTTGCTGCGCCATTTTCCCTAACACGGAGATACGTGCGCCTTTTTATCTGTCAGTAAAGTTCCCCGTCAGGTGAGCCCTGCAGATTCCTCCGTGGCCCCCAGCACTGACTCAGCGGAGGAGTCACTTGCTGGCCCACTACGTTGTAGGTCTGCCCGCTGGTCAGCCCGCGTTTTGGGTAAAGGTGCCTGCTATGTGTGGTCCCCACTAGGCGATCCCATATGCTTATTCAGCCACGGTTAAGTCCCCCCCCCTGGGCGGACCCGTGTCTTCCCTCCCCGCTAACCACTCTTTTGCTATGCGTACTCCCCCTTTTTAGGGCTAGTCCATATGTAAATTCTGCCATCTATCCCCCCTTGGGTAACGGATGGCCTCCGCAGCGTCCTCCCTATTGGGATTGCACGCTTCCCAACGTACTGTCGTATTTTCCTAGAATTATCTAGATGCTCACGACTTCCCAAAAAATATATATAAATCCGTAAAAACTTCTGTTGAAGTAGGATAAATTAGGGCCAGGGACACGTTGGAGGACCGCGCCCCCCATGATGTGGGTGCGTCACGCTTGCTTGACTATCTCCTCATCGGGGGTGTTGGTAAGGTGCAGTCATTATGGCGCTTTCAATGGGCTCCCAATGCGTGGATTTTACAATCAAATCCACTTATAGTGCTGAAGTTCCCCCCGAAGGGGAACGTTCGAGGTTACTAAAGTAACCCTTCGTTCCCCGAGGAGGGGAACGGAAGCACTATACTCCGTCGCCATAATGACTGTCCCTTAGCTGTTGAAAGTCTCTTCAGCTTAAAAAGGATAGCGTCTGCTGGCGCCAGGTGAGCTTATATACTCAGTTGATTGCTTATGCCGCTCACCTGCGCAGGCTTGCGCTGCCAATTCATTCTTAATTGGCCCGTTCAATACTCTTTCAGACGAGTAGCTTCTGAACCGAACCTCCCAATGCGTGGATTTTACAATCAAATCCACTTATAGTGCTTCTGTTCCCCTCCTCGGGGAACGAAGGGTTACTTTAGTAACCTCGAACGTTCTTTTAGGCGTTCCAAGAAGACACATCAAAACACCTATCTTCACCTGTCTTCGACCCCTGGGGGTTTAAGCAAGTGACAAAAAATAAATGACACCACCGTATGGAACAAAATCATTGGCAAAATATTTTAAATAAAAAGCTTGTTGAATAGCATTAATTGAAATAAAATAATGCATTAAATTAACATGTGTAATTACCAAGTCTTAATGAGTTGAATTGCCAGGGTTTGTATTTTTAGGTCCTGAAATTTAACATAGCTCTTTATTTAAGCTGTAAATAGTTCAACTGAAAGGCGAGGCAGTGGTGCAATAGGTAGTCCTGTCGCCTCACAACAAGAAGGTTGCTGGGTTGTTGGTTCGAACCTCGGCTCAGTTGGCGTTTCAGTGTGGAGTTTGCATGTTTCCTCCGGGTGCTCCGGTTTCCCCTACAGTCCAAAGACATGCAGTACAGGTGAATTGGGTAGGCTAAATTTTGTCTGTAGTGTATAAGTGTGTGGGTGAAAGTGTGTGTGGATGTTTCCCAGAGATGGTTTGCGGCTGGAAGGGCATCCGCTGCGTAAAAACTTGCTGGATAAGTTGGCGGTTCATTCCGCTGTGGCGACCCTTTTTTAATAAAGGGACTAAGCCGACAAGAAAATGAATGAATGAATGAGTTCAACTGAAAATATTACAAACACATTTTCATACTTAAATACATGTCATTTCCTGTTGACAGCAGGTGGTGCTATAACTTTAACTGGATATTGTCGTGTAAATGTGTTCAGGTTAGGACTCTTATCAAGCGTGTGGATTTTGAGGCAGATTCTCCGTCAAAAGTGCATAGGTGGCACTGTCGAGCCTATAACAAACGTACATTTTTGCCACTTCTGGAGCGTGTGCAAAGTTTGTGAGTTTTAGAGCATGTTTAGACCCTCAAAAATGCGATTCATTCAAAAAAAAAAAAAAAAAAAAGAAGAGGAAGAAGAATATGGCCTACGCACATATGTGCTCGGTCCCTAAATATTCAAAAGGCTTTCAGTTCATTTTATTTCAGCTAAAAAAATATTTTTTTATTATTGTTCCTATTTTATTTTTGTTATAGTTTTTATTTTGTTCCACACTGCTGGCTCTACCAATGTTTAGATACTTTGATCAGAACACATTAATTTCAGAAAACAAAGCAGAATACATAATAAAGATTTGCGTACTTATATACATAGTAAAAAATAGTAGTAGTAGTGCAGATAAATCATTCATGATGAACACTGCAATGTAAAAAAATAAATAAATAAATAAATAAATAAAGAGTTTTGCCTACTTGTATATTATGACTGTAATATGCCTTTACTCTTTTAAGGCTGATCAGCCAGTGAAAAATTTGCTGATCTGAGAAAGTACAAATTGATCAGACAGTCTACAAAACCAGCGATTAGTTTTCTGTTATAAACTTTCTTGTCATGTCCAACATGTTTTTGCTAGTAGCTACAGTATGATTCCCTGTTGTTTTGTGCACTCACCTTGGGAAATAAATAATACATTTGTGAAAAACAATTTACATATTACTGTATATCAGACAGAAACGGAAAGAAAGATGTAATCAAATGATATTTTTTTAGAATGTGAAGTTTACTCAAAAGTAAACAAAATAAAGAATAAATAATAGCCTACACATCACATGATAAAACTGAATCACCTGAATAAGGCTTGAGGATTACAGCAGTGTAAAATGATTGTAGTTTAAATGGTTTTTGTTATAGTGAAGCTAAAACAGCTACATTTAAAAATATAAACTGTCATCTATAAAAAATGAACTAAAACTTACATGTGAGCATTTTAGTCTGATTATAATTTGTAGAAACAGATTGCATAATACAGATTTTTTGGAATAAATTGTCACCCAACAATAAACATTAATAAAGTTTAAAAAATGAGTTAAAACTTAAAATAAATTTTTAATCTCATCAGCCAAATATGTTTACTGATTAACACTTGGCAAATGAGACTTGTGTATAACAGAAGATTCTCAAGATATCAATGATGATTATAACCATAGATGACACATTTACTGTAAAGTCAGTCAACATGTCAGCATCCTCATTGTCATGTAATACAGATCATCTGAAAATGTAAATGGTCTTATTTTACTAGTGCGCATTCATAATAACAGCAAAACACTGTTTTTGAAAAGAAAAAGAAAAAATAATACATTTCCTTTGTTCATTTATTCATTTTTCTGGTGACCCAGTACTGGAAAACATCCATACAACCACTCACACACATACACTATGGCCAATTTAGTTCATCCAATTTACCTGTACCGCATGTCTTTGGACTCTGGGAAAGACCAAAGCACCCGGAAGGAACCCAAGTGAACACGGGGAGAACATGTAAACTCCACACAGAAAAGTCCAACAATTTTTGATCTGCTAACTTCAGTCTTTGGTTTGTTTGCCTGATAAAAAGGAATTTAGCAGAGGTCTTCAAACTTGCTTCAATGGGTAGCACATAATATCTGTGCTACTGTACATTAGGCATGTTCAAATAGAAACTGAAAACACATCTGTTTAGCTGTGCCTATACTGAATGAACACTGTGCCCAGTCCGACAGATCACACTATTATGTTTTCTGTTCTTTTTCATTCTTTAATAACCTGTTTTAACACATTTTTATCTGTTTTTTAATCATTTTATTATTTGTTTTTCTTTAGCTTGTCTTCATGTGAATGAAATGTGCTACTTAAATAAACTTGCCTTACCTTGCCTGTGATTAGATTATGATTAGAACAAAAGGGTTAGCTGTTATGCTGAATGATATTTTAAGGAGTATCTTTGTAAATAATTCTAACAATTGACAAAAAAAGATACAAAAAAAGGGCATATTCATGCTTGCAAACACTTTTTGGTCTTTGACCCCTGTACATACTGTCTATATATAAGTATAATTGAGTGTCAGTCATTCTCACGTTTGCTTTCTCTAGGTTCGGGCCACCATTTCTGATGAGAGTAGAAAGGACTCTTTCTTGGGATCATCTGCAACAGAGTGTCTGCAATAAGCTTTACGTTTTTCAAAAAACTGCAATAATAAAGGTTAGTGTGCGCTGAGCATTCAGTACATTACTACTCTGATACATTATGATAGTAGTTGTAATAACTTATTTTCTTTAACTGATTTATTTTATCTCTGCCCTGATGACAGTTAATATTATATTGCAAAATATTTTTCAAGACACTTCTATACAGTTTAAAGTGACATTTAAAAGCTTAACTAAGTTAATTAAGTTAACTAGGCAGGTTAGGGTAATTAGGCAAGTAATTTTATAACAATGGTTTGTTCTGTAGACTATGGAAAAAACTTATATAGTTTATTGGGGCTAAAAATTTAGACCTTAAAATGGTTTTGAAAAAACTGCTTTTATTCTAGCCGAAATAAAACAAATAAGACTTACTGCAGAAGAAAAAAATATATATATCAGACATACTGTGAAAATGTGCTTGTTAAGCATCATTTGGGAAATATTAAAAAAAAAAAAACATTCAAAGGGTGGCTAATATTTCTGACTTCAACTGTATATCACATGAGAGACTTGCTTTGTTTACCAAACAATCGGATCTTATTGGATTTGCATTGTAAACCTTAAATAAAAGTGTAAAACTCCCAAAATCATTCCGCATAAATCCATCGGTTTTTTTAATTTGTATTTTTTTTTTTTTTTACAAAATTCTGATTCTTCTCTCAGATTCTCTCTGGCCATACACTATATGGGATACTGCATTTCTTTATTATAACACAAGTCTCTCAATAATTATGGCCTGACTCTTCCTGAAAACTGTAATATGCAGACGAGGAAGAGCAATCATTCAGTTGAACACAGGAAATGGAGAGATGAGAAAATAGAATGATTTTCATGAGTACACGGTTTCTGTAGATATTTTTGAATATGAGCAAATGTACTCATGTTTAGGCATGGGATGATAACCGTTATTAAGGTTTACCGTGGTTTGGAAAAGTCAAGGTTTTAAAGCCGCCAAAAGTTTCTAATGGCGTTTCTAAGATATATGTATACAACACTATCTCGCAGAAAAGATATTCAAAGATGCAATTACTTAAAGAAATCTGTGTTTTTGAAACTAATGAAGACCAGAATCAATGATTCATTTAAATAATTTAGTCTGACATGTTAAGCTACTGTTCCAAAATATTTTAAATGTTTGTTAAAATAAAATATATTGGGTTCAAAGAGAAAAAACATGTTTTACCTAGTCATTTAAAAACATATTTTACAGCAGCAATCACAAAACTGTGAAAACGTGATGTTTTTATTCAAGATTATCATACCATTAGAATCTTATACCGGCCCATGTCTACTCATGTTACTCATTTTCTTTAGTAAACTTGATTATTTCCTTATGGTCTTGTGCCAAAGCTGCCCTCTGAGGGTCACTGTTGTATCATTTTCCCAGACAGCTGCTGGCTAGATTAATTGCGGACTGGACTGTAGTCTGATTACTGAATAATATACTGTAGATTACATGGTGAAAGGTATTACTTCTTTTTTATGTCGCGCATCCTGTCTTTTCTCTTGTTTTTTCTTTTGCATTACTACAATAGCAATAAATCACTTGATGTGATGAATACATTTTACAGCTATACTCTACATTTTCAGTGTTTTTAGCATAATAAAACAATCAATCTCACACATGGACTAACTCATTGAGAAGTGTTTTGCCTTAAAACCCAAGAAGCGTGGAAAAACTCATTTAAATGAAATGTTATAGTGAAAATATCAAATACATAATCTATAAAAGTAACTATAATCTGAATCTGAATGTATTTTAAAATGTAATATAATCTGATTGCAAGTACCTAGTTTGTAGAATCAGACTACATAATTCAGATTTCATGTTATCAGTTATTACCCAGCAAAAAAAAAAACATTCATACAGATTAAAAAGTTAAATGTCATTAAGACACCTAAACACTGTTTAAAACTGCAATGTAGCACTGTTTTGTATAGCCCCAGTTAATAAGGCAAGGCAAGTTTATTTATAAAACACATTGACATAAACAAGAATAAAAGAAACAAGAAAATTTAAATAATTAATATGATTAAAACAGATTAAACATGATTTCTGTTATTTAAACTTACAAGTATGCATTATTTACAGACCTGATCAACTGTATCAAAGCTTAATGTTATATTTCAGATCATATTGGAGAGAAAGGCACAAGAGACCTTACATTGTCTTGTAATTGCTTGAGTACAACAGATTGGCAGGCACTGCATTTGCTTTATTGTCTTCACAGCATAATACATTAAAGGACCAATATAAACTCACCTTCTCAAACAAAAGACTTCTGCTATTTTCATCTGTTCATTGGCTCCCATTAAATCTCTAATTTATCATCCTGTACGCTTGAGTACAGCTATTTCAGTTTTAAATTGCATCTCTATAGTCTGATGTCGCTCTCTACATCAATTCCACGATAACTCATACTACTGTCATTTCTAGACAAAGGGGGAAATGTGTTCTCAGAACTTATGTTTTTAGATCTATATGGCCGCAGACCTCTTTAATGTCCATGTGAAATCAACATTAATAATTTAAACATAAATCAATTTAAACATAAATTGTTATTCTTTAGGTGACCAATTAACCTGTGCAAGTTCATACAGTCATTCATTCATTTTCTTTTTGGCTCAGTCCCTTTATTAATCAGGGTGTGCCACAGCAGAATGAACCTCCAACTTGTCCAGCATATGTTTTACGCAGCAGATGCACTTCTAGAACATGCAAACTCAGAAATGCCAACTGACTTAGCCAAGGCTCAAACCAGAAACCTTCTTGTTGTGAGGAGACAGCGCTCCCCACTGCGCTACCGTGCCGCCCAAGTTATTACACCGAAATAAAATTTTTGTAATGGTAATTGATAGAATTAATTCCTTGTGTGTTCAATAAAATAACGGGAGGATTATCTGTAATGTCAAAAATATTAGTAATTTATTAGATACAAATGAATAATTCGATCAACAGAATTCTGGGTATCCCCAATGCAAGAATTACATTCAAAGGGGTGTGCAAAAATCCTACATTTCCCTGACTCCAGAATTTATACACAGCTGATAATAAAAAGGTGGTGTTATAGAAGCATTCTTTACTTGTCAATCATTCCGTAGTCCTCCAGCAGCTGCACCCAAACATACTTCCTCTTTTTGCAAACTTCTTTGCACACGTAAACAGACATTAAGGCATGTTCTACAAAATTCTATCTTCACAACTTTAAGAACAACACATTGTATAAAAAGGCTAAGTGAGACATAAAAGTTATTTTCATAGATCGTTGTTGCTTTATTTGTCCAGTCAGCGGAAGGAAACTTCTGCAAAAATGCTTAATTAGAATGCAAAGCGTATCACACTCAGAGAAGAAGTTTAATTAATATGTCACCTTAAGCAATCCAAATGTTTAATGAAAAGAACAAGAGGCACAAATAATAAAAAAATATATATTCCTTTTTCCTAACATAATCTCCAATCAAAATCTGACCGTTTGCTGTTGCATTTGAAGTGGTGATCCTTTTCTGATGTCTGTTTGACAGCTTCAGCCAAATTACCCACTTACCATTATAAGTGAATGATGCACAAAAAGAAACCTCGCTCCTACTCAACATTGTGCTATAGTTGCAAATACATCAACATAATGAAATATAATGGAATCCATTTGTTACACATAATCAATGCACAGAGATAACAATAAAAAAAAGAGAAGCTCATAGGGCTGTTCTTTTATTGATAAACTATTCATTTGGGTTTGAATTTTCTAACAGGTTCAAGGATATTTGCTATGGATTAGTCAAAATGATGACTTCCAGTAAACTTTTCCAAAACTTTTCCCTGACTTTCTTTATTTTTATTATAATGCCTGTATACAGGTGAAAGAAACCCAGTATGCAATGTTGTCTTTTGGTTGTCTAACAAATATCACACCAGGAAAAAGACATGAAATATTCTAGGAAGAACCCCAGGGTAACTGCTAAGGATCTGCAGGCCTCTCTTACAGTGTCTAAGATTAGTGTTTATGTATCCACCATCAAGCAAACAATGAAAAAGAATGATTCCTGCAAGGAGGAAAAGAATATTACTGCCATCTAAAATGTAGTGTGTGGGTGAGGAAGAAGACTTTTGGAAGTATGTCTTGTAGACAGATAAGTACTAAATATAACTTTGCTTCAGATGAGCAGTATTATATTTGGGCAAAACCAATTTTTTAGACAAAACCCAACACAGTATTCTGCAATATAAAACCTTATTCCAAAAGTGTGGTGTCACATAGGTTTATTTTATTTCAGCAGCTTGATGAACCAATTATCTTAATGCTTTTTACAGTTGCTCTCAGTTTCTTCAGGTTTATGTTTGGTTCTTTAAAAAAAAAAAAATGTTCTGCTCTGGTTCTCTTGCATATTCTTCCCGTTAATTTAAGCTTGTCTGAATCTTTTTTTTTTTTTGGTTATTCCTCTCAACCAGACCTGACTTTATTGATGGAACAATAAACCCTGCAATTTCTACAAAGAGTCAGCAGCATTTTGTTGCTGTTATTTAGATTGACAAGATCTTTTTGATTTTATAAAAAAATATTATGCTTAACAAAGCTTCCATAATTTAGTTAAGAATTATTTTGTTATTAGTTGTTTCAAATTTAACTGTTTTCAGTTTTGAATAATTTCAAATGTAACCAATTCTTGTGAAGGCATTACTTCAGTCGTCAGTGTAACATGATTTTTTAGTTATTATTCAAACATGCTGATAACATTAGTTATAATGTTGAAGATATAGTATATACATTTTAAGTCAAAATTATTAAACCCCTTTAAACTTTTTTTCTTGTTGTGTGACAATGTTTAACTGAGCAAAAAATGGTTCACAGTATGTCTGATAATATATATATATATATATATATATATATATATATATATATATATATATATATATATATATATTAAGGTCTAAATTAATTGACCCTTTAAGCTATATATTTTTTAGATTGTCTTCAAAACAAACCATCGTTATACAATAACTTGCCTAATTACCCTAACCTGCCAAGTTAACATAGTAAGCCTTTAAAAGCCACTTTAAGTGTCTTGAAAAATATCTGTCAAATATTTTCTGTCATCATGGCAAAGATAAAATAAATCTGTTATTAGAAATGAATTATTAAAACTATTATACGTTGAAAAAGTCCTCTCTCCCGTAAACAGAAATTGGGAAAAAAACAGAGGACCTAATAATTTAGAGGGCTAATAATTCTGACTTCACTGGCTTTGTATGTTATCATTCAACAGAACAGTTTATTTGAGATTCAAACTTTTTTTAAATAGAATATTCAAAGAAACATTAAATTATTTTAAAAAGCAAAGAAAACAATCATATTTACCCTAAACTATTGAAAGGTAGTGCAAGTCCAGTTTATGGTTCTACATTTGTGATGAGTTTTTTTTGTCCTCCACAGACTACTGAACTGTTTAAAGTGCGTGTGGTGGGTGGATCAGCCTCCTGCAGTTATCTGTCTCCGCACGACAGCAGACCTCTGTGCCATCCCACCGTAGACAGGTGAGCCAACTGTACTCCATGATTTAGAAGAATCAGGGATTGTGTTTATTGCCATGAAAGTGAAAGATTCACATTACTCTTATAAAATAACATTAATATTTAATTATTTTTATGAATTCTAACATGACTTCCACTGTAAGTGTAGCTCACTTAACGTAATGAAATAGCATAGCCTACTCTGTAAAAAATAACTGGTAAATACTGTTTCCATATTTTGTGATTCAGAAGTGTTTTTCATTCATTTACTGTTGTGAACTGCATTATGAGACCTTAATCTCTGCTCTGTTTACTTTTGATGTTGAAAATTCAACTCTACTGTTTAACAAAGTGACTTTTATTGACATTTTAGTAGTTAGAAAGAAAATAATGTGTAAGAAATAATAAATGATGAAATAAATCTGTAAAATAACAGAAAATGTACTGGCAGTTTATTACAAAGTATATATACTGTAATATACAACACCAATCCAGACAATATATCACTTTAAGATATTATAAATGTTAATAAAAGTCACTGTTTTGAACATTACAAGGTTAAAAGTTGTTGTAAGAAAGATCAAGCTTCCATAATGCAATTCAAAAGCATACATAAAAAGGGAAAAATAAGAAACAAAAACATAAATCACCGGATACAGAAAACTGCAAATTTAAAGGACACCTATTTTACCCCTTTTTTTTTAAGATTTAACATGAGTTTTTTTGTGTCTCCAGAATGTGTCTGTAACGTTTCAGCTCAAAACACCCATCAGATTATTTACTATACTTTTCAGAATATTGGAATTTTCTCCTCTGAACAGCTGTTTTTGCTGCATGTGCCTTCAATGCTAGTTCTCCCCACCCACTGTTCCCACGTGCCTGTCAGAGTGTGTAATCGTCCTGTCTCCGATAAACAGTACAGTGACAGTAATGAAGCAAATTTCATGTAACATTTGTGAGAAAAAATACAGTAAGATGCTGTATGAATAATCGTTATATTAATGTACAAATTAAACCTGATTTTAATGTCCACAAACCGGGATTGAAACGCCTTCTTGTACTGACACTATGCGGCTGGTGTGATACAGTAAAACTGCTGTAATTCATTACAAACATGCACTGTTTTAAAAACGTTTTAAACTTGTAAAACTCATTCTTGATCACATTTAATGATGACTGATGATCACAGAAAGCAGAACGGATCTTTTAATCTCAGTTGCTTTGAGCACGTCCTGTCTTGTTGACATGATTATATGCGTTACTAAGGAGACATGTGGCTATCAATCAATTTGATGGGCAGGGAAACTGCACTCCTTTGGCATGTTGTGGTGGTCCTCAAAATGGGAGGGATTTGGATCCTAACTTTTTTACGTCAACAAATTTAAAAAAGAGATGTATTGTCGTTATATCACCCTAATATGACAGTGGACACTCTATACCTACACACAGTTCTGTCCAAACACCTTACAAATGTTGATTTTCACGATCAGTGTCCTCTAAAGATATTTTTCAGTGTACATTTTGGTCTGTGTTGAGATTCTGTTGTTCTACAAGGTTTTGTTATGCTATACTGTTCGGATACTGTTCCATTAAGTGTTACCAAATAATGCTAAGAAAAAACAAAAGCAGTCTTTGAAACTGTGCGAAATAAGTGCAAATATTGTATGGTGTAAATAGGAAATAGAATTACAAAAAAATCCTAGAGGAAACACAGTATATTAGTTGAGGGAACTAAATAATATGTAATACACTAGGTCACCAGTGCTTTGTCTTTTTGGGTGTCATTAAAATAGAACCAACTTGTTGGAGTTTTTGTGTGTGTGTGTGTGTGTGTGTGTGTGTGTGTGTGTGTGTGTGTGTGTGTGTGTGTGTGTGTGTGTGTGTGTGTGTGTGTGTGTGTGTGTGTGTGTGTGTGTGTGTGTGTGTGCGCGTGTGCGTGTGTATGTTTTTACAGTCACTGGACAATTTATTCCATCCTTACTGAAAATCTTATTGAACCCAATCTTTCGAAGAAATCTTGGTAACACTTTATAAAAACTACACACTATAAACCATTTATTAAGTATTTAAACTCTACATTAATAAACGCTAGTAAACAGTTTATAACTAAAGCTACAAATGCTGTGTTCTTGACTTAGAACCACATTTATAATGTGCTTAATTATTGTACTTTCATACTTTGTTAATCATTCATTTTTAATTACTAAATTTAGTATTTCATTATTTACAAACTAGTTATTTAAGCATAGTTGTTTTTTTAGGATCATTCAGAATGAGTTAGTAAATGATTTATAAACTATTCAAATTAAAATATATAATTATTTTTATTCAAGCATATAGTATTAGTTAATTTGTATGTTAATAAATGCTTTATTAACTTAACTTCATGCAGTTTTGTGACCAAATCTAATGTAAGGACTATTTATGCTAATAAATGACTTTATTTATACCTATTCGTTTGAAGATACACAAATGAAACTGTACTTCAAGTGAAACGAAAATCTTTGAAACCTAATGTAAAATAAAATTACTGTACAGTTTAAACATCACATCCTATTATATTGTTAAATTATTATATTGTTGTTGTTTTACACAATTTTATGTCGTATTTTGACACTGCTGTCATTCTGCAATGTTTAAATTTTACAGTAATTTTACTTTCTAGATATTTTGCAAAGATTATTAAGAGCATAAGAGCATTGAATCATCATTTATAAAGGACTTAGTCCTCAGTTTAGATTAGGTCACATAACAGCATGAAGTTGAATTTATATAAGCATTTATTAACATACATAGTAATCATTAATTTTTGCCTGAACAATAAGATGTATAAACATTGATTTTAATAGTTTATTCAACATTTACTAACTCATTCTGTATGATCCACCAACTAATCTTAAATACAAATGGTTTGTAAATAATGCAATACTTCTTATAGTAGTGTATAAAAAATAAATTATTAACAAAGTATGAAAATACAATTATTAAGCACAGTATAAATGTGGTTCTCGGTCAAGAAAAGAGCATTTATAGCTGCAATTATAAACTGATTACTAACATTTATTAATGTGGAGTTAATGCTTAACAGATAATGAATTCACCATATGCTAATGCTAATAAATGGTTCATAGTGTGTAGTTATTATAAAGTTTTACTGAAATCTTTTTTTACAGTGTTTCTATGCAAACTAAATGCTTATCAGTTGCGCCACAGTTCATTTCTCCAGCAGCTTTAAACTTTTTAATTGGTCTCTAAATACCCACATCATGGTATTTTAACCTATTTAGGACAAATTGTATCCTCTCCTCTGCATCTTATTTGTGTGGCTCTAGAGACAAAAACCCAACAAACCAAACCATGAAAATGCTGTAGGTGTAACACACACGCACACACGCGTCTTGAATGCCAATCATCCATTTTTCAATTTAAAGAGCTTAAAAGTCATGACTGTAGCCTCATTCACTGATGTGTCTGCTATTCTGGGCTGCTGTGCTTCTTCTGATATGAATATAAAAAAATTATGATACTTGTGGATGTGTGCTACTTTAAAGTGTACAATTTTAAATGATAGCTCAGTAGAATGGAATTAGGTGCAGATTTACTATGAGTTTTGTATAGCATATCATTTAAATTCACTTATAATGTAAGTGAAATTCTCATTTGCTCATAGTAATGGTTATATAAAACATTGAACCCTCATACTGGCTCTCCTAAATTGAATATTTTAATGGGGGTCTTTCTTAAGGCTTGTCAGTAAACAGCTACTGTTATTATTGAATAGTGTCTGGCATGACCACCCAGTTGTTGTTTTATCTCTTAGGCCAGCAGATGTTAGTGCAGGCCACATGATACATTTAATACATTATTACATTTGATAAATTTGCTAAGTATTAAACTATATGAACATTGATATAAAGTTGAAAACATTGTCTACATTTAATGGTCACCAACATATAAAAAATAGGAAATTTTAACCTTGATCTGTCTCTTATGTTGGCTTTCTCCCATTTGGGATCACTAAAGTGGATCATCAGCATATTTATTAGGCACAGGTTTCACATCCGATGTTGTTTCTGATGCAACCCTTGTGAAACCCCCAAGCTGTGAATTTTTGCTTTGATAAATATATTTTAAAACGTATATATTTTGAGAATGCAGTTTAGCCAGGTGTTCCCCATAGCCTCCCTCACTGACATGCACCACATCTGTCAAGCAAAGGCACTATTGACAGTGGAAATGCAAGGATATGTACTGTTTTTGCATTGAAGTAATCATGATTTCACCATCGGGTTTAATTACGAATTCTGGAGCATGAAACAGGCTGGAGAGGTGGATCCACGTGCAGCATAAGTTTATTGAATATAAATCAGGAATAAAACAAAGGGTAAAGAAAAAAAGGAACCAATAAACTAAACCTCACAGAGACCAGCCACAAATCAGCTACCACATTCAACAACAGACAAACACACACTGCAATACAAGGACTATTTATACAGGTGACAACAATTAGACTAATCAAATTGATAAGGTACAAGAGAAGGAGACAATAACTGCATCCCAAATGGCACACTATGCTATATACACTATGCCCTTGTGCACTATGTACTTATGTACTTATGCACTTAGACACTCAATAGCATAGCATATGTAGTGTCGTCCTAAATGGAACATTAATGTATTTTTAATAAGCGAAAATTCAAACCGATTGAGTACTAATCCCAAATTAGTGAAATAAATGACTAAACTATCAAATAATACCTGCCATAATTAACCACATTCACCATGAGGAGGTGCTATAATCACTCTCGCAGGAGAATTTTGCTTTCACAATCCAAAATTAATGAAGTACTCCAACATGTGCACCTGATAGCTCCGCTCCTTCCGCTACGTAAAGCTGCTGTTTCTAAATCTGTGAAGTGTCCGACATTCCACATTCAACATCAGGAGGCGCTATAATCACTCTCGCAGGAGAATATGGCATTCCCAATCCAAAATAAATTAAGTACTCCAGCATTTCCACCCAA